CGGACGCCAGTGCTGTCACATATGGGTTCTCTGACGGTGCCGCGATCACTGTGACCTCGTTTGCCGAAGTTTTTAATGGCGGAAGAACCTGTGCCCGCTGATCCCTCCAAAGTGGGGGCCGCCCGCGGGGCCCGGCCTGAAGGGATAATATGCTGGCCCCCTCCCGCGGAGAATTGCCCGCCTCCAAGCAGCACCCGGGCCACACGGCAAGGATTCCAACGCTTTCCAGGCGCCGGATTTTTTTTGTTTACGGGCCGAAAATCGTTTTGGGGCTTAAACGGGGTCTTTTTCACCTGCACATAGCAAGTTGTGTTGTGGTGCCCGGTGCGGCCGCATCGAAAGCATCGCGCATAGCTCGGGGGGATGGGCGGAATGTTTTTTCGCTTTCTGGACAGCCTCAAAAAACCGGGCCGTCCTCCTTTCTGGGATAGCCGATGGCGTTGGCAAGGGTTCGGATATTGACTCCGGGGTTTTCCTTCGCCACCTGAGCCACCCGAAGCTGATAATACAAACGTCTGCCCAATTGTGCCTGTTCGGCCGAAATTACCCCCGCGACGGATAGCATAAATTCATGCCAAAAAATTGCCCCACGTCTGGCAGAGCTCAAATCCAGGCTTCATGGGCAATAGGAAAACAACGCGATAAGCCACCAGTGGCTCTCCCGGCGGGGCCTCCAATAAATACCCCGAGGCGCCCTCACAGGTCCGGGTATTTTTCTTAGGTCGAAAGCCCTTTTCCACAAACTTATTCTTCAGCTCTTGAATTCCTCGCAAACCCACCTGGGCGAGAACCCCCAACTCCATAAATGGCCGTTCGGCATGCCCACCCATCTTGGCAGTAGGTGCCGGGGTGTGAAAAGCCTGTGGACTAAAGTCGTTGTTACCCTCTGCCGTAGCCGGCTGAACTGGCAGTCCCGTGGGTTCTTCCCCCTGGGCACACCAAGCCTGCATCTGATTGATATGGGTTTGCATCTGGATCTTCTCCTCGCACAGCTGGTTTTTCTGCGATTTCAACGTGTTAATGTGATGCTGCATTTGATTAATGCGATCGTGTGATACAACCGTTTGAGCGTAGGCGTCCTGCTGGATCTTTAAATTTTCCTCCGCCAGTTGTGCCCTGGTCATCTAGTACTTCTGATACAGTATTGGCTTGCTTTCCTCCAGCGCCATCCACTCGGTTCGGAAAGTCGCCCTGGCATCATCAAAAGCCTTGAGAAAGTTCCAGTTCTTTTGCACGCCAATCGGCACCAAGGAGTGTCGTAAAGAAACAAAACTGACTTTTTTACCATTTTCCAGACAAATGGTCAGTTCACCGCCTTCATTTGTTAATGCGCCCTCGGCGCGATTGACCTGTGTACTAAAATTTGGTCTGTAC